CTGGGTTTGAACCTGCCACTCTCGGTATATGGAGCCGCTGGCCTACCCACTGAGCCATAGGCACTGCCCTGGTTTCTTTGTCTTTACTAAGCAAGGCCTTATTTATTTAATTCTACATGTGCTGTAAGATTGGTTTTTGCTGTTGTATATCTCCTGAGGTCTTCCTTTTGTTATATTTAGAAAGAGAACTACCCTTGAAGGGTTAACATTACTCTCTGGGTGTAGTCCAGACTTACATGGCTTACTAAGGTCCTTTGTTGGCTAACTTCTGACATCCTAGTTTCTACTGCCCCACCCTCTGTTCTGGTCATATACCGATCTCCATATTTCAAGATTTTGTACATGCTACTCTGTCTAAACCTAACACTCCTTTACTCAAATTCTTTGTCTCTGTAAAAAATATATTTTCTTTATAATTCTTTTTGTTGACACATAATGTACATATTGGGGGGGTACATGTGATATTTTAGTATATTTATATACTTTATAAAGATCAAATCAGTATAATTGGGATATCTCTTACCGTAAGTATTTGTCTTTTGTGCTTGAAATATATAATATGTTCTTTTCGTTCTTTTTTTTATTTTTGAGGCAGAATCTCATTTTGTTGCCCAGGTTAGAATGCCTTAGTGTTACAGCTCACTGCAACCTCAAAGTCTTGGACTCAAGCGATTCTCTTGCCTTAGCCTTCCAAGTAGCCTGGACTGTACACACCTGCCACAATGTCTGGCTATTTTTAGAGATGAGGTCTCCCTCTAGTTCAGGCTGGTCTCAAACCCATGAGCTCAGGCATTCTTCCAGCCTGGGCCTCCCAGAGTGCTGGGATTATAGGCGTGAGCCACTGAGCCTGGCCAATATATTCTTATAAACTAGAGTCACTGTACTTATCTAGCAAACATTAGGTTTTATCTTGTCTATCAGACTTTTATGTTTGTACTAATTAACCAGTCCTTCTTCAGTCAGCCCTCTCAATTCTTTGTCTCATTTCTTTTCTTTCTAGAAGCCTTTGCTGACTTTACGTGATTTTGTTACATTTTGTGTTTCCCCAGATTTCTGTACTATTGTTGAAGCATTTACTAAACATTCTTTTGTTGCCTTTTTACTTCTGGGTATCAAGAACTGATGATGGTTAAGTGCCATGTGGAGTAGTACAGGCTAAAAGTATAATTAATTAGTAGGAATTTAACAGATGTCAAAAGAACATTATTTGATAAATTATTTAGAGAGACCTCATGGAAGAGTATAGTACTTGACTTTGAAGGAAGCATTCATGAAGTATGGTAATGATCTGCCATTATAGGTTTGATTAAACTGCTAGATATTGACATTTCTAGTCCTAAGAGAATCCACACTAGCAGCAAAAGATGTAACATGCAAGATGTCCCACATTCTTCAGTATTCCTTTTGCATTATTTATGTGGAATAAGCAAAGGACACACTCAAGCCTGTAGAACATGGAAAGAATGAGCAAAATATTTTATTTTATTTTATTTTATTTATTATTTATTTATTTATTTTGGAGACAGCTAAAGCTGTTGCCCTGGGTAGAGTGCTGTGGTGTCATAGCCCACAGCAACCTCAAACTCTTGGGCTTAAGCCATTCTCTTGCCTCAACCTCTCAAGTAGCTGGGACTTATAGGCATCTGCCGCACTGCTTAGCTGTTTTTTGGTTGTAGTTGTCATTGTTGTTTGGTGGGCCTTGGCTGGATTCGAACCCGCCAGCTCTGGTTTATGTGGCTGGCGCCCTAGCCGCTTGAGTCATAGGCCCTGAGCCATGAGCAAAAGATTTTAAGAACTTTGGGTCGAGAGGCGCCTGTGGTTCAAGGAAAAGGGCACCGGCCCCATATACTGGAGGTGGCACGTTCAAACCCAGCCCCGGCCAAAAACTGCAACAACAATAACAACAACAAAAAGTTAAATGAATAAATAATTTAAAAAAAATAAAAGAGGCAAGAGAATTGCTTAAGCCCAGGAGTTGAAGGTTGCTGTGAGCTGTGATGCCATGCCACAGGGTGACAGCTTGAGGCCCTGTCTCAAAAAAAACAAACAAAAAAAGAACTTAAAGGTTTTCAGGCAACAGTGAAAAACAATGATACACTTTTTAGAAAGTTTAAGGAAAATTTCAAGATTAGTTTTGACCATATATACTAAATTTAAAGATTACTTACCTACATTTTTGAAGCTCTATTGAACCTCTGGAAAATGGAATAGCTGGGTGATTCTGGATAAATGATACAATGGAATCTTTCACAAGACTCAGTATTGGGGAAATAGGCTGAGTAATACAGTATTGTACATCTAGAAAAGGTTGGAAATGAGATTACTCTGGTAGAAAATAATTGCCACGTTACATTTGTCTGCTCCACTCTATCCCTCAGTAGACAAGTGGGACTTTTTTTTTTTTTTGAGACAGAGTCTCAGTTTGTCACCCTCGTAGAGAGCTGTGGGTAGAGAGCTGTGGCGTACAGCTCAAAGCAACCTCCAGCTCTTGAGCTTAGGGGATTCTCTAGCCTCAGCCTCCTGAGTAGCTGGGACTACAGGCGCCCATCACAACACTGGCTATTTTTTTGTTGCAGTTTGGCCAGGGCCAGGTTTGAACTCACCACCCTTGGTATAAGGAGCTGGTGCCCTACTCACTGACCCACAGGTGCCACCTGACAAGTGGGACTTTCATTCCTTCTTTAGTAGGTCTGCAGCATAGTTGGCATTCATATGTGCATAAATAAAATAACTAATTAAAATGTAATTCCTAGCTTTAATGTCTTTGTATGTTCAATAGCTCTTAAAAATATTTTAGAATAGGCTTGGCGCCTGTAGCTCAGTGAGTAGGGTGCCAGCCATATACACTGAGGCTGGCGGGTTTGAGCCCAGCCCAGGCCTGGTAAACAACAATGACAACTGAACAAAAAATAGCCGGGCGTTGTTGCAGGCTACTGTAGTCCCAGCTACTTAGGAGACTTGAGACAAGACTCTTGAACCCAAGGCTTTGAGGTTGTTGTGAGCCATGACGCCATGGCACTGTACTGAGGGTGACATAGTGAGACTGTCTCAAAAAAAAATTTTTTTTATAATAGTTATTTAAAAGCAAAAATAGGTGGGCAGCACCTGTGGCTCAATGGGTAAGGCACCAACCCCATATACTGAGGGTGGTGAGTTCAAACTCGGCCCGGCCAAACTGCAACAAAGAAATAGCCGGGCGCTGGGTGGTGCCTGTGGCTCAAAGGAGAAGAGTGCCAGCCCCATATGCCAGAGGTGGCGGGCTCAAACCCAGCCCTGGACAAAAACTACAAAAAAGAAATATCCAGGCATTGGTGGGTGCTTGTAGTCCCAGCTACTTGGGAGGCTGACGCAAGAGAATCGCTTAAGCCCAGGAGTTAGAGGTTGCTGTGAGCTGTGTGATGCCACGGCACTCTACCCAGGGCAATAAAGTGAGACTCTGTCTCTATAGAAAAAAAAAAAAAGTAAAAAATAGGCAGGGCATGGAATCTTATGCCTGTGGTCTCAGCACTAAGGATTATGTGAGGCTAGGGTTGTTTTTTGTTTTGAATTTTGTTTCATAGTACTTATAAAAGTCTATTTTGCCTAGTAGGTAAAAATATTAGACTTATAAAACAAATCTCCCCTCAAATTTTGGGTAAAATTTTTGATGTTTAAATATAAACATTCACTGCTGGCTTTCTCCATATTTTGCTGGTATGTTAAGGTATTAAATCTTAGTTGTTGAAATGGTTCTATCTCTGATTGCTAAAAAAAATTATCTTCTCAATTACAGACATACTTTGCTCAGTCTTTTATAGCACTCTTAAGTTATATTGCACTTACTTTCATTGTCAGATGGAGCTTTTTGAGGATGATAGCAGGTGTTATATGAGAATTGCATACCTGTTCAGAGTATGTCCTTTCAGGCACATTCTCTTTTTGCCTGTTCTTTGTATCTATTTCTCAACTTGAACCAATCAGTGTTCAACTCCTCTGGTAGGTAAAACATTTGATAATTTTATTAAACCCTATATATCTCTAGAAACTGTTCAAATTCCGAATGCCTCCTTACCTGCTCCTTAAGATCTCTTTGAGCTGTTTCCCTCCCATCTCACTAGTCTCTTGCCTCTATTCTTGTCCCCCACTCTGGTCTTCCTTTCTCTGTATCAGAACACTCTTCTCTAGAGGAGAAAACCTGACAGTACCACAGCCATTTCTTGTAGGCTCTTGCAAGTTCTCGTTAGCTACTTCTGTGTGCTGGAAGCTGTGGCTGGCAGAAGGGTCAACACCCACAGGTAGAACCTGTCCTGGTGGGAGTCTGATGGACCATGTAAGAAAAACAGCTGTAGACTGACCCTTGACTATAGGAAACATGTAAAATAGATACACAGATGTCACTATAAATGAAAGTTAAGGTCAGTAAACTCCAATGAAAAGTTATTTCTGAAAGTGTATCCTAAAGACCATAGCGTAATTACGAATTAGTATTCAGCCTCCCAAGTAGCTGGGACCTCAGGCGTCCGCCACAATGTCTGGCTATTTTTTGGTTGCAGCTGTCATTGTTATTTGGTGGGTCTGGGCTGGATTCGAACCCGCCACCTTAGGTGTATGTGGCTGGCACCTTAGCCACTTGAGCCACAGGCACCAAGCCAGAATTAGCATTCTTGGTTTGATTATAGTTCTTTCTGAACCAGAATGTCTGGGTTACGGGCCTGGATATCTGCATTTTAACCAGCTCTCTTAAAAGATCTCTGTAGGGCTGTCTAGAATGGTAAGAGCCTGGCTGTACACAGGGTATAAAGGCAGTATAGTTGGTCTTCTGGATAGTTTGCTTGACCTATGGCTTCCTTAGGCTATAGAAATGGAAATGTTTTGGCCATCAGGTAGCATTTTACCTGGAAAAGTATATCCTTATAATGGTTAGACCTTATGACATCTATGCTCAAGTTCTGTAATTAATTTATCTGTTGGGTGGAAATGGTATGCTTAAAAGTGCTGATCAAACTCTATTTTTTTTACAGAACTCAACAAAAATCCAGTGGAAGGCTTTTCAGCAGGTTTAATAGATGACAATGACCTGTACCGATGGGAAGTCCTTATTATTGGTCCTCCAGATACACTTTAGTAAGTATAATGGAACTGACATTTTCAAAGTGGAGCTCTTTTAATTAATTGGAGTTAAAACCATTTGGCAAAGAGAAATGAAATTATTTTTTAAGGAGCACATGAAATGTCAGTGTTCAGCATCATTTGTACTGAATTTGATCATGTTTAAGATTTTTGTGTTTTGCTTGAAGTTGCTTTTTGAAATAGTCTTACCATAGGCTGGCTGGGTCTGGTGGCTCATGCCTGTAATCCTAGCACTCTATGAGGCTGAAGAGGGTGGATTACTTGAGCTCAGGAATTCCAGACCTGCCTGAGCTAGAGTGAAACCTCATTGTTATAAATGATAGAAAAACCTAGCTAGGCATGGTGCAGTACGCCTATAGTCCCAGCTGCCCAGGAGGCTGAGATAAGAAGATGACTAGAGGCCAAGAGTTTGAGGTTGCTGTGAGCTATAATGATGCCACAGCACTCTCCCCAGGGCAACAGAGTGAAACTTTGTCTCAAAAAAATAAATAAAAAATGTACTTACTATAGTTTTAGAAATTCACATATTCTTTGTACCTAGAATAAGTTTATTACAGAAAAGCAATCTTTCTGGTGAGGTTATATACATATAATTTATTTTTAACTTGTATTTTAGAAATTAGAAGATTAATTTTGTCAGGAACAGGGGAAGGAAGAGAAATTTCTATTAAAATGTTTTTCTCCTGTCCTTAACTATGCCTTAACCCTCAGTGGGAGTGTCATAGATTTTAGGAGAAAGAGTTTGCCGTTCTTTGATTAATTTATTAAAGCATAGGATTACATTTTTCTGGGACACTATCATATAGAACATAATGTACACATCAGTGTCTTAAAGCTAGAGAAAACTTACAGAATATTGATCAGAGTCAAGGTGTTCTGACCCTAAAACAAACTAATGGTCACTTCCCCCTAGTTTATAAAAGTTATTGTTAGGGTATTAACTGACTACCAACTGTTGAACCAATAATTTAAAGATAAGACAACAATGTAGTGGTATCAAAGAGCACTAGAAAAAGAGATGACAGTCTTATTTTCTGCTCTGAGTGCTTGAGGATTAACTTAAATTTACTAGTAATTATTGATTTTAAGACTTCCTGGTGACTGGTGCAGGTTTCCATGCTTTTTATAGAAGTTGAAGTAGTGGGGAGAAAAATGAAGTGACCCTCTTAAAGCCATACCTCAGTGACAGGGAGATATCTAGATCTGAGTTTCCTGAGTTTCCTGTACTTCCTCAGTCAGCTTTGATCTCAATGGCATGAAGTGAGCAAGGATTTGGAGGCATCAGAGTTTTCTTTGGGGGGTGGTGTGATAGGCAAGTAGCTTTTTAAGGTTCACTAAGATAGTTTTTTTTTACGCTCAAAACAGCTGGTGGAAGAAAATTTGGTTGCTTCTATTCCAGGGTAGACTGAGGCTTATAGAAATGAGCCACAGTATGGATGTTTCTGCTTTTTATGGTCAACCAAGTAATTACACTTTGTAATAACTGTTGCCCATCAATTTTTATGATGTATTTCCTAGTGATATGTTTGTATTAGTAAGTTTTATAAACTGAGATAACTGAATCTAGTCGTTCCACATTGGGGTTCTTCTGTAGGTAACAGTAGCTATCGAAAACTACCTTGGAAGTACTTCCTCACAGCCTTATTGTTATTGGAAAGCAAATTTTTAAACAAAACTTGTACACAAAATCATGCATACAACGTGGTCAATGAGCCTAATGATTTTCAGATCTATTCTAATAGTTTTTTCTTTTCTTTTTTTTTTTTTTTTTTTTGAGACAGAGCCTCAAGCTGTCCCCCTGGGTAGAGTGCCATGGCA